TTCATCTCGGGCCCCTGGTCCAGCAAACATGGGGTCGGGGACGAAATGTTCTTTCCGGGGAGGGGGCTGGGACCTCCGGAGCCCACGGATTGAAAGAAAAGCACAAGACCCATTAGATGTCTGCGACTGGCGGCCCGCGATGTACCTGGGCTGGCACGGAAACGGAAAGAGCGTTTCAGAAACAGAAACCGAAATCACTCACACCACCGTTCGTACCGGGAGCCTAGGCGTTGAGAGCTTGTTACGTCACCCCTCGCTCTTGGGAGCCTTGGTGTTCAGAGATTGTTCCGTTGCCGCCCGTTCCTGAGCCTGGGCTGGGCCTTGGTGTCAGGAACTTGTTAAGTCACCGCTCTCTGCTGCGAGCCTTGGCCGCATCAGCTTGTTTACGTCACCGTTCGCTCTTGGGAGCCTTGGTGTGAAGACTTTGTTGCGTTACCGATCGCTCTTTATTTGGCGTCTCTGGGCCTTCTTGGGAGTCCTATTGCGGCCCTTTTGGATCCCTCTTGGGGGCCTCTGGGGGCTTCTTGGAGGGCTCTTGGGGCCTCCTCCTGGGAGCTTCTTGGGGCGAAAGGCTAGACTTTTCGGTTCGTGGTCGCCCTCTTGGGGCCGTCTTGGGGCCCTCTTGGGCGCCTCTTGGACCGTCTTGGGGCCCTCTTGGGCCGTTTGGGGGGCCTCTTGGGCCATCTTGGGGCGGTCTTCGGGGCCTTCTTGGACCGTCTTCCACACTGCGAAAGCCGAAAAGCCGTGTATGCTAAAAATGTACGTTTTCCGATGGGAATTCCATGATTTGGGCCTCCTGGTGGCCTCTTGGGACGCCTCGTGGGGGCCTCTGGGGGCTTCTTGGGGGGCTATTGAGGCCTCCTGGGAGCGTCTTGGGGCGAAAGGCTAGACTTTTCGGTTCGTGGTCGCCCTCTTGGGGCCGTCTTGCTGCCGTCTTGGGCCGTCTTGGGCGCCTCTTGGACCGTCTTGGGGCCCTCTTGGGCCGTTTGGGGGGCCTCGTGGGAGCCTCTTGGGCCATCTTGGGGCGGTCTTCGGGGCCTTCTTGGACCGTCTTGTGAAAGCTGAAAAGCCGTATACGCTAAAAACGTACGCTTCCCAAAGAACATCAATGATTTTGGCCTCTTGGGGCCCTCTTTGGACACCTCTTGGGCGCCTCTTGGGGTTTCTTGGAGGCCTCTTGGGACGTCTTGGGGCTGTCTTGGGCGGTCTTGGGCTCTTCTGGGACGGAAGAGGGGAGAACCCGAAAACCCCAAACACATACAAAAACCCGACGGAAAACCCGAAAACGGCCATTAGACTTTTGCGCCCGGCCCTCGCCCCTCCCCTGGAACCCCTCCCTAAGAGGGCTTCGCCCCACACAGTACCTGGGCTGGCACGGAAACGGAAAGAGCGTTTCAGAAACAGAAACCGAAATTACTCACACCACCGTTCGTACCGGGAGCCTTGGCGTTGAGAGCTTGTTACGTCACCCCTCGCTCTTGGGAGCCTCGGTGTTCAGAGATTGTTCCGTTGCCGCCCGTTCCTGAGCCTGGGCTGGGCCTTGGTGTCAGGAACTTGTTACGTCACCGCTCTCTGCTGCGAGCCTTGGCCGCATCAGCTTGTTTAGGTCACCGTTCGCTCTTGGGAGCCTGGGTGTGAAGAGCTTTTTGCGTTACCGATCGCTATTTTTTTGGCGTCTCTGGGCCTTCTTGGGAGTCCTATTGGGGCCTTTTCGGAGCCATTTGGGGGGCATTTTCGGAGCCCTTTTGGGGGCCTCTTGGGGCTTCTTGGGGGGCTCTTGGGGCCTCCTGGGGGCTTCTTGGGGGGAAAGGCTAGACTTTTCGGTTCGTGGTCGCCCTCTTGGGGCCGTCTTGCTGCCGTCTTGGGCCGTCTTGGGCGCCTCTTGGGGCCGTCTTGGGGGCCTCTGTACGCCGTGAAAGCCGAGAAGCCGTGTACGCTAACAATGTACGTTGTCCGATGAGAATCCCATGATTTTGGCCTCCTGGGGCCCCTCTTGGGACGCCTCCTGGGCGCCTCATTGGGGCGCCTTGGAGGCCTCTTGGGACGTCTTTGGGCCGTCTTGGGCGGTCTTGGGCTCTCTTGGAGCGCTCTTGGGACGTCTTGAAGGTATCTTGGGCCGTCTTGGGCGGTTCTTGGGCTCTCTTGGAACGCCCAAGACGGCCCAAGAAGCGCTCAAGAGGCGTTGTCCGAGGATGTCTCGAGCGAAACGCTCCTTCTCAAGCCTCAAAGGCCGTCCTACTCGATAAATAACGAGGCGGAGCGGCCATTAACACCCATTCCCGCCCCTCACCCCCTCCCTCTGCACTCCCCCATTAGGGGCTTCGCCCAAAACACAACGTCATCACTCGTACCTCGCTCTTTCCGTTACCAGGGAGGCCGCACAAAAAAACACACGCGACCTGAAATTCGCGCGCGGGACATGAGGTCACGCGCTGGGTACGCACAGAGGGGGCCGTCGCACCCGGCTGGGCGCGGGAAGACGTGCGGCCACCTGTGCACCCCGCTGTCGCACAGGCGGGGCACAGGCTGGCGCCGTCGTGCGCACCGAGCCCCCTGGTGCCGAACAATGCAAAAAACTCCACGGGCCACCTCGTGGAGCAGCGCATACACCGTGCCAGGCAGCTGGGGGCAGGCGGTCGCGGGCAGGTCCCTGAACAGCGATCAGGCCCCGGACGGGGAAGGGGAGGAGGGGGGAGGACGAAAACGACGAGGAGGAGTGGTATCCTGGGTGTGATATCATGTGGCAAGGCCCTTGCATTCGGGGCGCTGCCTCGGGAAATGCCAGCGGCACAGGGAGGGATGCGACAGAGGAGTAAGAGGACCAGAGGCGACCAGAACGTTCCCGCGCACGGAGGTGGGGCAGAACGGGGAAGAGGGCGGAGGAGGAATCACGCAGGAGGGGGACGGAGAGGAGAGGGTGAAGGAAGCAGTATGAGGACGAGTGGGGTGACGAGAACGAAGACACCAGGGGGGAGTGGGGAGAGGAGAGAACGATGGCAAAGAAATGATAGGAAGGGCGAGGAAGAGCGGATGAGGATGAATACGAGCTGGTAGAATTGAGCAGGAGGAGCATGAGGAGGAGGAAGAGGAGGAGGAGGACGACGACGACAAAGAGGAAGATGACGAACATGGAGGGAAGAGGGAACATTGGAAGATAGAAGGGGAGGGAGGACGACGAGAATGGACAATCAGGAGAGGCCGACGGGAAATCAAAAACACGGCGGAAGGAGATGTGCGGCGGCGTGGAGAAACAGGGGCGCTCGAAATTAACATCTCAAAGCACGCAAAACTGTTGTGCTGTCTTGTGTTTGGGCGAAGTGTGGGAGAGGGGGGCGGTGGGAAGGGGGGAGGGGAGGAGGGGATGGAGGGAGGAGGGGGGAGGGGGATGGGAGGGGGGGAAGGGGCAACCTTCATGCGCTCGCGCCATCAGGGACATCCTTGCCCATCCCACCCATCGCGTTTTTCCTCCAACCATCCTGTGGTGTTGGGTCCTCGTTTTGAAGAGACGGTCCCCACGTTCCTCCTCTCCTCTCCTCCTCAACAATAACACAATATGAAAATACTCTCCCACTTCCCCTGATGGCGTCCCGAAGATATCCGACCCCCCCCCGCGTACTGTTTTTTACACACAGGATTCCGGGGAAACGGGTTTTCGCTTGCGTTTGTTTCCCAAAATGCTGCTCTCGCTGAGTCGCCGGCCTCATTTCTGCTCCCGAATCGTTCCGAATCGTGCTCCCGCTGCAGCGTGGGCCTCATTTTCGGATCGGTGTTTTGCCTCCGTCGTTCAGGATGGCGTTCTCGCCCCAGCGCGGGCCTCTTTCTTGCGCGCCCATCCGCCCGCCACCACCGCGCCGCACCACGTCCCGCCCCGCCGCACGCACACCCACCGCCACTTCCACCCACCAACGCACGCACGCACGCACGCGCACCACCACCGCGCACCGCCACCACCACTGCACTACCCCACCCACCACCACCACGCTACACCGCGTCACACCACATCACACGCGCGCACACACAGACACACACGCACGCACGCACGCACGCACGCACGCACGCACGCACGCACGCACGCACGCACGCACACACACACACACACACACATACACACACACACACACACACACACACACACACACACACACACACACACACACACACACACACACACCACCACCGCCACCACCACCACCGCCATCACGCAAGTACGCACCTGGCCCACCACCAAACCACCAAGACGCCACACCACGTCACACCACAGCACACGCGCACACACGCACACACACACACACATATACACACCACCACCACCACACAAACCACAACCACGCACACACGCACGCACGCACGCGCACCACCACCCACTACGCACACGCGCGCGGAGCCACAGGTCCGCTACGACACGCGTCCGCGGATAGAGAAAATCAGCGCCATGGTGGGGGGGTAGGATGTCAGATGTTGACGCGAGCGCACCTAACTTGTCCCCCTCCCCCTCCCCCTCCTCCTCCTCCTTCTCCTCCTCCTCCTCCTCCTCCTCCTCCTCCTCCTCCTCCTCCTCCTCCTCCCTTTTCCCGTCACCCCCCTCACTTTGGCACACCCCTCACAAATTTCGTGGCCCCATAGGGAGCTCCACCGAAGGCCCCAGTGGGACCGCCCGCATGCGTCCGCCACACCCAGTACAGCGTTTCGTGACCCTATGGGGACCTCCAGCGAAGGTCCCAGTGGGACCGCCCGCACGCGTCCCCCTTACCCAGTACAGTGTTTCGTGGCCCCGTATTGAGCTCCCCCGAAGGCCCCAGTGGTGGTGCCCACATGCGTCCGCCACACCCAGTACAGCGCTTCGTGGCCCTATAGGGAGCTCCGCCGAATGCCCCAGTGGGGGTGCCCGCATGCGTC